CGGCGCGGCTCGCCCAGCCGCCACCATGGGCTGCTGCACCGGGCGCTGCACGCTCGTCTTCCTCTGCGCGCTGCAGCTGGTGAGTGACCGCCGGGTCGGGGCCGCGGGGCAGGCACTGCCGAGCCGCCCTCCTCCTCCTCTCTCCGAGCACCGCCACTGTCCCGACCTTCGGTTTTTTAGTGATTTATTTAATTTTTGTTGGTGGTAGTCGGGATAATCTGCTCCATTGCCCTCCCCTCCCTCAGCGCGGGGAGTGCCCGGGCCCGGGAGAGGCTCCCTCACTCCGGCCCGGCTGCTGCTGCCCCTCCGCCTGGGTCTTTCTTGTGCCCAAGCCCGCTTAAAAAAACTCCTTCGCCTCGTGTCAGGTTGACAGCTCCGGGCTAGGAATCAAGTTGGTGGTTAAGCCGGGGTCGCGGTGCTGAGGCAGCGCTGGGAGGTAGGAGGGGGGCGCCTGTTGTCTGTCTGTGTGTGCGCTGGCAAGTCCAACCAACTGAGAAACTGAAGTTGGGTTTTATGGCCCGCTATGCGAATGGCACTCTTAGGACCCACCGCTGGCTTTTTATTTTTGAGCCCTTCCATGTGGTCAGATGTCACTGACCTCCTTTGATGTCAGATCCGTGCGGGGGAGTGTGCAGGATCCCCGTCTCCCTTTTTTAGGCTAGAAAAATGCAGATTTTTTTTTTTTTGCCTATCTTTCTGTGTCTTTCCTGAAAGGTATTCTTTTCCTTTGATAAAATACTCCTGGACTTGTACAATCCAGATCTAAAGTGCATCTTCTCTTTGTTTACCGAGTTGGCACGTTTGTTTTGGGGAGAGAGTTGTCAGGGAAAAAAAATCTATACCGAGCAATAATAATTCTTTGTCTGGCTCATTAGCTCCGTGAAAAAATAACGCTCTTCCTTTACCAGTTAGTCCCTAGTCCCAGGAGTATTTTAAAGGATTTTTCTCTCTCGTACTGATTTGGAGGCATCTCTTTTACCGCATGATTTTCCTTCCGATGAGTGGTGTTTTCACTCTGGGTGTGCATGTGTGTGCACGCACACATGTGCATGTGTGTGCCTCCAAGGTGAAAATGTACCATGTGTCTCTGGATTTTGATCATTTGGTAATCTTTCTACCTTCCTGCTAAAGCCTTTGGAAAAGCTTCTGCTTCACAAGAAATATGAATGCCTTGTTAAATACAGCATATCATTCATTTTCAAGGCATTAGATGAGATTCTCAGCTGGTGTAAATTGGTATAGCTCCATTGTTTTCAAGTATTGGCTCATTAAGGGGGACTCTTTATCATTTAATCTTAGACACCTGAGTGCAGTGTATGCCTTTAACGCATGGCATTTGGCAGTTTGTTTCTTTACTTTTAGGAAAGCTTTTCTTATGAATCGGTGGCCTTAATTCTTCTCACTTACAAGAGTTTTAAACTGTCACCGTATTGACTAGAAAGAAGTAATTTCTGATTTACACTGATGCACAGGAGAGGGGAATTGGGGCTTTCATCTTTAAAAATCTCTCTCTACTGCAGCTATGAAGGTTATAGTAACTGTATTTACTATTCTGTAGGATTACCGGGAGGCTATAAAAACTGAAGAAGTAAAGTGTGAATAGCTACCATAATACATAGGGAACTGCATATAAAATCTTTTGGAAGAAAGTATCATATTTTATAACATATCAATCAAATGCTTTCACAACTTTAAAAAATGCTTTTAATATGTGGACTCTTCTACTCTGCTTGCCTGTTTTCTAATAATGCTTAGCTTGATAAATTAGTATCTAGCCAATTGCATCTAACATAATTTTTTCATTTACAGAATAAAAACTGTAACGGGTATGTTTGTAGATCTGAGATTTTAATCTAGTAGGCATAAACTCAAAGCCAGGTAACTTCCAGTGATCTCCATGGTGGCAGTGTTGAATTTATGTTTGTGAGAATTGTCACCACAGGGGGTTTTAGATCTCTTTCTAACATTACAGGTCATGAGTATAAAGCATGCCCAACAAAACTGCATCCCCAGACATTACTATCATTGAGGGAGATTTATTCTACCTTGCATCCATTTATGGAGAGGTGAAAGACATATTACTGACTGTGGACAATGTTTAGATTAAGTGCTACAAAAGCCAAAGTACTTGTCTTGCTAATCTGTAGCAGTGCGAAAGTACAAATGATTTATACAAGCTGAGAAAACTCTGGAAAAAATAGAAAGATCATACTGTTTTTAAAAACAATAAGTAAAGGTTCGCAAAAGGAACATTTCACCTTCTCATCACAGCCAAGTCATATTACACCAAAGGAGACAAAAATAGTTTTACAAAAAGGCACTTTGAAAGCAATCAGAAGTTATTTGATTACGAAAAAAACTGGGCAGCTGAAAATTCTCTAATAAAGAGTCAACCCTCCTCTTGTGTATGCACCATGTACCTGGTACTCCTTGTTTCTCCCTAAATGTTTGCCAATAAAATGTATATTTCAGGAACTGTTTGATATCCCAAATAAATTATTTCTCTTGTTGTGTAGATTTACTGATGCTTGGGATTGGAATACTTTCTAGTCAGTTCTAGCAAATGCTATCGTTATTAACTATGTAGAGTGACCCTCATATTCATCCAATCCCTAGCCATGGAGCTTCTCATACTTGACTTCAAGGCTTGATTCTCCATCATGTTTCAACAGTTTTTCTGTCAGGAAGATTTAATTAATGTCTATAGAGTCACATCTGTATAAAACTGGATATAAGCCTGGAGAACCAGGTCTTTGGATCTTAATCACTGTTTAAAGATTCTGTTCTATCTAGTTCTGAAAACACTGGCCACATTCATGAAATGTGTTGGTGTGATAGCAAGTTGGTGTAACAGGGAGCAAGGGCTCCTGTCACTTTAAGAGAACATGGGCATCAGGGCAAGACCTGCAGTCTGGTGGAGGCAGCTGAGCAAAGGCCAGTTGCTAACACGTAGAGGCAACGTAGAGGAGCTACCAAAAGGGCCAGGTATAGACAATCAAAAAGCCCAAGGCTGAATTGATTCAGTGTTCGCAGGTCAGTCTAAGATGCAGAGGTTGAACCAATAAGCAAATGCACAAACATTTACTCTCGATTTGGGAAGTGCAGTGGCCTGCAGTGGCTCCAGCCAGAAAAGGTGGGGGGCAAGTGCTATGGCACAGCTCTCTGGCACATAGCCAGCATGGGCTGTGTGTTTTCTTCCTCTTCCTGCTGCCCTTGAGGTCTCTGGGATTTATAGTTTACAATCACATCAGCAGGACTCTGCAGGGCTGCTCATTGCTCCCTCTTCCTGCTTCCAGATGCTTCTGGGATTTGTAGTCCACAGTTGCAGCCAGCAGTAAGTAAGCCAGCAGGGCAGCTATGTACTTGAGGGAAGCGGAGTTTAACTCCACACCCTGGCCCCAGATAGGGTTTGCCAATGAGCCATCCAGTGAGCCAGCCCTCACTGTGTCAGGTAGGGAGCAGAGGGATGGGACCAGTCCTGTCTCTGGAGCAGACAATACAGCCTGGCCCAGGGATGCAAAATGCTGGGATGTTGAGGGATTCTGATTTAACTTGAACCAGGGAAGGGTCTAGAACAGAAATTTCATAAACTGGTTTGACCAAAATCAGTTAAGTCTGATACTACACTCAACCAGGTTTACCAGTTTTAGCCATTTTGAAACTGGTTTATGTGCACTGAACTTTTATTCTATTACAGGTTTAAACCGGTTTCTGATCACTTAAACTAGCGTGTGTGTGTAATTTCTGTCCCTAGCCGGAGAGAGTGGCTCTGGAGCTAGATGCCCTGCAATAAGCAGCGAGTGGCAGAACTCCATGCAGAACAGCTGTGTTGGCTGCAGCAGAGGAAGGCTGGTTTAGTGGGCTAAGGAGAAATCCCTGTGCATGGTTAGGAAATCATGTGATTGGAAGGGGTGATGCTTAGGGGAGTATACGACTTCTTTCTAAGATGGATTAGGCAGTTTGACCCTGACTGCTGCAGGGAAAGTTGCTGCTAGGGAGTAAGGTTGTTGAAAATTGACCCATAGGCACCCAGAGTACACTACAGCACTGGAAGGAGACAGCTACCAGGGGAATACGGGTTCTTGTAGGATAGGGACCCAGAGTGGGGTTTAAGCATTTTAGTTTGAGGCTGTTTCCTTGTGTTTCTATTTTGAATGAAGGTTTGGACATGACTGCAGGAGTAATTAGAGGGCACAGGTGGGATGTCTGGGAAGCACTACAACTCAAGGGGTTGAGGCCAGACCTGCAAGTGTCTGGGACCTGTTGGGCTGTGAGAGCTAAAGTCAGGCAGTTCATAGGCTGTAGGGATTGGGGAGCCTAGCAGATGGAATAGTGAGACCAATGAGGCATGGACATGGTTATGGGGGAAGCTGGAGACCATGATTAGGACTTGTAGGGACATGATTGGTACCCACAGGGCAAGATTAATTCCAGGTGTGCACAAATGATGCTGGCAGGGACTGGAATAGTTTTTATTAGCACACTGAAGGTCCAGTGACAAGTACGATCAAGGGACCAGCTAAATAAGCTGAGTCAGACTAAGGGCAGGGTCACCAGGATCACCCCAGGACACTGAGGCCACTTCCCAAAGTAACATATAACATTCACATCAAGATACTGGCAGGGAAAGTAGTGAAGGGCTACCTAGAGGAGCTGGAGTGGGACCAGTCCTGTCATAGTTGGCTTCATAGGACAGTTTCTCTGGTTTCTTCACAAGCATTCTACAAATTTTTCTCCTACTCTTAATCATTTAAACTTGTTCTGAAGAGAATCACAGTCATTGGTTGACTGTTGGAGCATAAACTGTCCTTTTTCTAATGGAAATAAGGCTTATTACCTTCAAGATAACTTGTTTGCATTCTTTAGTGTTCTCTAGGCAGGATTGCAATATAAGTTTTAAAAATATCATATTAGCATAATTTCCCTATAATTATCTCTAACAAAAGCATAACCCAAACTGTCCACACCAGTTTTGAGATTTGTACAGAATACAATTCAGTACTACATACAAAAAACTTCTCAGAACCATGCATAGTGGTGAATACCTGAAGGGCATTCCATAAGTAATCTTGTATCTTA